AAACAACAAAAAACTCCCCGACAACAACAAAAACAAACAAACAAACAAAAAAAGGTGAAGGAGAGGTAAAGAACTTACACACAAAACCTTGTGTGTACTCTGCTTTACTTAGGACTTGTTAGTTCTCCTGAACTGAACTGTCACCTAACAAAAGATGTAAGCATGGATAATAGCATTTACACTCAGCAGGATGTAGCCAGGGCACTGTAATACACACATCTACCCAATTCAGTAAAAAAGGGTTTACACATCACACACTGGATGTGCTCCAGCACCTCAATGTCCTCTTTTTAGCGAGAGACACAAAACAGAACACAGAATTTGAGGTGTGGCCTCACCAGTGCCCAGTACAGGGGGATGATCACTGCCCTGGTCCTGCTGGTAACACTATTTCTGATACAAGCCAGGATGCCACTGGCCTTATTGAAACTTGGACATTTTATTTTTCCCATGTTTCAATTCTACACATACTTTGTTAGTTGCTCAGGATATTTTAACTACTAAATTTTTTAGCTTTTTAGAGCTTTGAAAGTCACTCAGCAAACTGATAATTTGAAATTAGTCAAGTCAAATACAAGGCATTATTAAAAGTACTCAGAAACAGAACCTTTTCTGGAAAGACTGACACCTAATACTAATAATTTTATCTTGAAATCACTATGTAAAGCTCAGCTCACATAGCAGTGGCTCAGATGCTTGGGAAAAGAAATTGCTTGACAGCTTCTTTCCATCCTTTAGTGGGCAAATATCCACATTAGGACTATCACTCATGATAGTTTGTCTGTATAAAAATACCAGACTTGAAAGGATCTGTATTTGGTATTCTACAAATATAATGCATAGGTAGATCCCATTTCCCCATATGTACTTTATATGCAGACATTGTTCCTACCTGAACAACCTTATCCTAAGGAGAATATTCCTTTTAAAAATATTTAAGAACACACATATATGTTAGTTTTTATAACTTTCCTCAGCTCTAATCAAGTTTAAGTGGAGGAAAAATCAACAATTGTATTTAGTTACATTATGCAATGATCAGTTTAGAAAAGCTATGAAAAATCAATTTTTGTGCTGCATGAACAACTTTCTGCTTTGACAACAAACCTCATATTTAATTTTATAATCTACATCTCAGACAAATAACCTTTTATATAATATAAAGTCAGTAACAGCAATAAAAGCATGCTACTCTGGGAAACCTATGCTATTATTAACCAAAATTTCACGTGTGTGTGGTCATAAAGTACTGGCAACTCTACAAGCTGTAAATAGGACCTAGTGTCATTAATGTGTCTAAAAAAAAGAAAGAAATATTACTGACACTTCAGTTGCAGAAAATACTGCATAGCTTCAATGTTTCTCTGAGTTTTCAAATCTAATTACAATTACAAATCCAGTTATGACATCAATGTGAGCCCTTCCAAAGGGAATGGAAGAACAGTAAATCCCAATGGATCTAAGAGTTCTGCAGCAAGGATGATGTAATATATAAAAATAGACAACTCTGATAGAAGCTGCAAGTTGAGTAAATAACACACTGCATGTCATTAATTTTGCATTAGCTTGCCAGTAGTCATTACTAGAAGGATGATGAACTAACAATTTTGTTTTGCTTCAGGTGCTACACAAAATAAAACTATAGCATTGCTCATCTATTAACAATAATACACAACTTAACATATAATTTGAAACAGTAATAGTCCCTTAGAGCATGGATGAAGGAAGGAAGCTGTGCAGCTAAAAAAGTTGTGCTTTGCCACAAGACACAGAACACAGGGATGGGAATTACTTATTGCCCTTATAGCATTACCAGTGGATGTTCCCATAAAGAAACATCCAACTTCCATACAAAAAAATGGTTAATGGGAACCATCCAAATCATCTCAGACATTTCACATTTCAGATAAAATTACCCCACAATTTTTGTAGTGTCTCACTTCAAAATACACCTACATATATAACACAGTCACACACTTCAGGAATTAATGGTACTAGATGTGTTCAAATACTACAAATACAGTAATTTTGTATTACTTCCTAGTATGATGTACACATTGACTTCACTCCAAATCAGGAGTAGATTATCACCATCGCAGAATAATTTGTGTGTTTTTGAAATTGCACACTGAATTTTGTAGATGAAAAGCAACTAAACAAATATCTGTCTGGTAAAAGGACACTTGCACTTGGCAATGTTAAGAACTAGGCCCTTTCTTTCATTAATGGAACAATCAATACAGTATATTTTATTTTCACAATAAACATTAGAAATATTAAATAAATTATTTTATACTATTTTGTTACTAATAGAGACAAATTTGTTTGAGCAAACAAGCACACTTTAATGATGCTAACATGTTTAAAACACCTTTGCATACCATGCTACTTCCCATCAGCAGTACACTGCAAATTTAGGTATGCATACAATTATGTTTTGAATTACCATTTTTCTCTTGACATTACTTAAATTAATTTGTTTTATAACAAAGAACAGAATGAGTTCAGTTTGATTTCTATTTAAGTCAGGTAACCTTTTTGCTTTCATTTTGCATAAGGCACACAGCAGAATCTACTCAACTTCCTTCCTCCTTGCTCTTCACATTCTTCCTCTATCTTGAGGAAACTCAGTTACCAGCAAGTTCAAAAATTGAATCTATTTAAATTGATTCAGTTGCCATAACTCATATGAGCCTCTAAAGCCAAAACCTTCAAATATCCTGTGCTCCAAACATTTCTGACGACCAAGCGTACCTGACCTCAGTAGTTTGTTTCTCTGTGCATTTTTTTGCCTTTGTAAACAGACTTGGTAAATGTAATACTTCCAAGGTCAAGGATGCTTAGAAAATTGTTTTTCCCTCCAACCTTTCCATATCCTTTATACCTTTTTACAAAGTCAAGCTTTCAATGTGTCCACACCTTCTTGTTCACTGCCCTATCAAATAATTTTCTTAGATGTGGTTTGATTTTTTTTTACTAAAAGAAAGCTCTTCTTCTTGTTAATGTGAATACTCATGACTGAGTCTGTTCTTTGCTTTTTGTTTTATTAAGTGATCTTGTATTAGAATGAAAGTTCTAGATGACCTCAAAAATCATGAGGAACATTAAAAGCTGCAGCTATTTAGAGGCTTAAAAGACTGACAGTGTTCCTTTAAACTGATTTCTTGTGACTGGGTATCTGACAACTGTTCCTACTGATTCAAACTAAAACAACTGAAATTCTACATGTAATAAATATGACTAAGTACACTATTACATTGGCATCAATGTACTATTGAACTTATTATCAATTTATAATGCCTGAACAAGAAGACACTATATCAAACTACTGCAAAGACCATACTCTTGAGAAGCAAGCACATACAAGGTATTTCATGATCATAGGTAGTGTGGACCATGGAAAGACATCCAGCAGTATGTATTACAACATGCAACATAAAAAACCCATGCAGAGAAGCAATGGTATTAGGCTATTTTTTAACATTAAGCCTCATCCCAAATTATACTGGACATCTGTAACCAAGGGGTAAAATTGAATCAGCTTTTTTGAATTCTCATCTACTATGTTAACCACCAAAAAACACTGCTTGTCATTTTGGAAACTTCCACATGACTTCAGCAGCCAGACACAGTGAAGAAAGGGAAACACAGTTTTGCATCAAATTCAGGCAGAAAAACTTAAAATTCATGAGTTTTTAAATCCTTCCTAAATGTGACATGATACACAGTAGCTTTGTAATGTAATTCTGTAGACAAAGGAAAAGGTAAATTTGTTTCATAGAACAATCTGAACATAAATTTTCAACCCAGGAACTTTAGACTCTTGGCAGACAATAGGAATGCAAATGGTATCAGGAAAAAAGGTTACTTTGTCAATGCTTTGCACTATTAATTTTAAAAGAAGATAGGGGCAGGAAGTTTTCTGCAATTTGCTACTAAATGAGCAGGCTCTAATATTTTTTTAAAATAACACACATCAAAAAAAAAAGCTAGGAAAACCCTTACACTTATTTTTTCAGGGAGTCATGGCTGCAGACAAGACTTGACTCAGTAACATTAGACATGGTTTCATTTCCAGACCTCTTCTCATTTACATTTTCAGTCAACTCCTTCAAATAAAATCCAGAAGGAAGACTTGTCTGCCCTAAACTCATCTCACGACAGCTGTCTCAAAACAGTGCATGAGGATAAAATTGTTACATCCTTGTAACTGGAGTGGAAGCCAGGGTTATTGATGGCTCCATGCCTACCACTCTTTTCTTTCCGACACCGGATAAACGGATTGTCACCTCACGTGAATCTCAAGCTGAATGGGATAAGAAAGGCTACTAAAGGCAGAGATCCCTTTTGCAGGGATTTCAGCAGCTGGCTTTAGCAAGCCTGGTTGAGAATGCACTAGTAGCAAATTTCATAAGCCTGTTAACTAATTCAAATCTAGATAGACTATCACAGAGTAAAACACCACACATAGTCCTACTGTTCAGCGCTCGCTGCAGGTGCTTCAGCATTATACTTGTAGGTCTACCTGCATATCTTTAACTATACACCAGTAAGCTTTGATACTTTGCCTTTAGCAAAGTAAAGGCTACAGTACAGACTAAAGCCCACATCACAGTTTACATACCAAGTTTAGACAGACATAGACTATCACAAACCAGGGAGTTACAAATTACTACTCTATACCACTGAAGAACAGCATCTTATTTTGGACAAAGTTATTTTTCCTTTATGAACTTGTATTATTTACACTGAGTATGTCATGCATTATATACAGAATAAGCAGCTTAGCAACACTCAGACCGAGCATGACTAATTTTTCACAGATGTACCGAAGCAGCCACAAAGTTTACTGGCAGTAAGATATTACAAGGAAATCTGTCCTTTTTTAAATTCACTCCTAAGATGACTATTTAATTTTAAAGTTTTAAAATCAAAACAAAACAAACAACAAACAGTCTAAAGGCAGAAAAAAAGCCATGTAGGTCCTCAGGAGAATGGGTCCACACTCGATTCAGTTAAGTTGCTTTAAACAAGGGCTTTGTACGAAAAAATGAAGTAGCCTGAAGTAAAGATACACACAGAAATAAAATCCACACTCAGAAATTAAAATCCAATTTCTACTATTAAGTAAGGAGGTGTTAATACTAATCTAGTTAAAGACAATTTCTCACACTTGAGAAGCACAAGGAAAAATTTTCTAGATTCAAATGAGAGCAACTCAAACTTGTCAGTATTTTTTTCTTTCCTGAAAAAGAACTGATAAATTTTACCAACTACAAAAGGTGGTAAAAAGGATGCAATTTTATCAGGCTGATAAAACACATTTTTATTTCCATATACTATGAAGTTTCTATTTTCCTTACCCTAGAAATCAGCAATGCTTGTTCCAAAAGTAACATGCCTAAATATGATATTCAACATCAGATTTCACTTCAAATGATCCTTCAAACATTACAGTAAGTTATTAAAACACTATGAAGTATTTCAAATGCCTATCATAATCTACGTAGTACAATATCACTCCTAAACACAGTATTTCACTAACCATAGGTTACTTCAGATCGTGCCACTGAAAAACTGGGGAGCACTGATGTTTCAATATACATGTTTCTTCAATATACATATTGAAGAAAGAGCAAATTTCAGCCTAGAAATCACTCATCTATGATACTGGAAACATTGAAATTTGAACCCTCTTAAGTGTTTTAGATAAAGGAATTTGACAATGTGACACAGGAGGACCTTTTAAATTAAACACGTTTCCTGACAAAATAGCAGAAGAATTGACCAAAGCAATGTTTGAGGAAAGGGAGAATTTTTAAGCTAAAAAGTAGTTTTAATTTGCTTTCAGCTCTATCACAAGAGATTTCTCAAGCATAACAGTGAGGACATTTAACAGTTTGACAAGACACATTCTTATCAAACATTGTGTTTAATGGATGCTCACTATTTATTCACTTTGGCATTGACAAAGGCAACTGCAAATGCCAGTTAAGTTTAAAAGATGCCACTCAGATCTTCATATTACTTTGAGTGTACTTGAGGTCTGATATCAGGAAAAGTTTCTGTATTTTGTTTGGTTTGGTACCATTCCAAGATGCTTGATTTATTCAGGCACATTCTTCTCCCTAGCTTGGCAAGGCCGTCTTACAAATAATAGCCATTTATGCATACTTTGCTAGGAGTCTACAAAATCCAGCCTCTTCTTACTGAGTCAGTACACATCAGAATGGAAGACAAGCAAGAAAAACCATGACAAATCCTTTTTGTTGCTTCTTTAGTGCTCATCTTGTCACACTCCATTTCCCTCTACTGACATACTAAAGTGTTATGGGGGCCAATTTTTTAAGTCCTCTGTGTCATGAAAGAGATACTTAAGTAAAATGTCTCTCAAACACTAAATATTTTATATATACTCTTTGCTTATACTTCTCATTTCCTACAAATCACAGGACATCAAAGCAAGGAAGGTCGATCAAGCTGGGCAAGAGACATTGTGCTGTCAGTAAATTTCGTGTTTACATTTGTATTTTTATATGATAGTGAGATTGCTGAACTAACAAAGCAAAGGCTATGAGGCAATTTTAGTCATAATGTAGCATCAGTATTATGATACCACACTGCAAACCCACAAGTAAATTGTTAGTGGACCATACACAGTAAGTTACAATACCTGAGGTTTAGTGCATTCCTGTGAGCCAAAATGAAATGAATGCCATATAGGAGGAAAGGAAAAGATGAACATTATCAGACATGCCATAGTACATTCCACCACTATGAAGATAATGTTAAAATTCTGTTAAAGAGGGTCCACCATCCTCCACAAGTTGTTTCTATTGCAGAAAGCCATGCCACAACTGAGAGCACTGCATTTCATTTTTAATTCTTGGAAAGCACAGCCATGCATCTGCATTTAAGATCTACATTTTGCTCTATCTTTTCATGAAGATATAGAAAACTTTCTTCAGAAAATACTGTTTGAAATTTCTGAAGAAAAGCATTCAGAGATTACTGCAAATAAAGTATAATAATTTATCAACAATAAAAATAATAATTCCACATGCTAACTATGGATTTAGGGTAAAACAAAATATAGGAAAATTATACATTGTGAAGACTTTGAGGATGCTATCAAAATGGCTTTATTACTTTGAATCTTATGTACATAACACCTAAACTAGAACACACTCACATGGAAGAGCAAACCTGAAAACAAATGCATCATATTAAGCCTCTTTCAATTTGACTTTAACACATTATTTACTACAATATCTGAACCTCTGTTTTTTTTTAAATATTTCTTTCTTTATTTATCCAAAATTAAGAAGTAGTAACAAAGATGACACCCTGACAGATGTTGGTGAAAGAATGTATAGGCAATAAGTCCACAGGATATGTGCTATGTTTCAAATTACTATGTGTTTCGAAAAAAATCCTGCTTTTCTCAGTCAATTTTTCAAGAAATTAAGACCAAAAAAAAAAACAAGGTCAAGGGACATAAAATAGGAATGGAGAAAAAACAATGTAGCCTGTAAATGTATGGATAAAACAACAGAAATAACATTGCTAGTAGAAGTGAATGAGAGAATAACGTCTGCAAGATCACCAAATACTGTAAAAATAGGAGGAAATGGACCAGTGTGAAGAGTCTTGACTACATTTTAAAACTCATTTGAGTTTATTTGACTCAATTTGCTTTGAAAAAAAATAATAAGCTCGGTCATATGCATCATATAACACTTTGAAAAGCAACATTTGACTGTAACTGCTGAAAATTTTAGAGTTTATTTGGCAATCTCTTCCAACTCAACATGAAATCTTGCTCGCAATGAATTTCCAAACACATACACGAAGCCATTATGAACTTGCACAATAGAACGGCACATGATGGACTTTTGCTCTTAGTACCAGTTAAGCTTACAAAAACTCATCAGGCGTACCTAAAGTGAAATTTATACAACAGGCAAGCTCCTGTGAATGCAAATGGCACTGTGTAATCTAAACATTGCCCTTCTAGAAGTAGGTACAGATCACACTACAACTGCTTGCTAAGCACAATGTACACATCTAAATAATATGGACAAAAGCAATTCTTCCTGTAACTCCTATAAAGTATAATACCACAATTATTTATTTTTTTTTTTGCAAAAACAGGTCAGTAAAATGTTTTATCTTCAAACCAAATGAACTGGCTTAATCCATATTAAATTTGGAGGCAATTAAAACTGCACTGAAAATTAAACCATTAAAAGCTGTTGTATAAACAAAACCAAATTGTTGGTATAAAATGTAATTATTCAACTCATGAAGAAAAGCCTGTATAATTAGCAGATGTAATCAAACATCTACACGCTTACAGACACACATTGAATATACAGTGAACTGGCAAACAAGTCAAGGAATAAGGATGAAGGAAAAATTGAAAACGCCTACAACTGCCCTGTATCAAAGACAGTATTTTAAAAACTGAAGTATTTAAAAACTAAAGCTCTAATGCTACAAATTTATATGTATATGGTTACATTGTGAAAAATTCAGCCCAATGAACTTAATGAGATTAAATATGCACAAATTTATTTATGCCCATGCCTTTACGGTTCTAGCAGATTTAGAGCCTTAAAGAAATAAATAATAGCCAAAGACAAACAGCTTTTCCAGTATTTTCCTCACAGTTGAAATCAATACCAAGCAAACATATTAATCTAATAGAGCTTTTCTCAGTTTAAAACCCATATAAAAAATTTTATAGAATAAGTTTTAATTATTAGTTTATTTTCATCTCAAAAGAAAGTCTGGAAACTTTCAACATGTACAGATTTCCCCCCTCAAAAAAAAGCAATCAAGTAAAATGACCAAATTATTTCTTTGATGACAGGCCAACTCTGTAGCTCACTAAAACCCAAGTATAAAGGGTTGACACCAGCATAAGTTAATTTAAATTTAACATGTAATTCTGGATACCAAAAAGAAATGAGAGATCTAATCAAAGAATTTGGTGTACTGCAATGCAGCACAGCCCTTTTCAGGCAACACCTGTTATCATATACAATGAGTGCTTCACTAACTGACCTTTTAACATAGTACATTAAACTAATGCTACTGTAACTTAAGAGAAAAAGGAAATGAGAACAGAATTGCTTTCACAGTTTCCCATAATGACTGGAAAAAACAATACATGACATTCACAGTCAGAAACACACGTTCACCTCTAAGATGCAAGCTGCACACATGTTCATTACTGATGGAGCCAAACTCACATCATTTTAAGGGGAAAGCTCCCTACAGAAGCACACTTTAAAGATACCAGCAAGTTTAGCCATTTTGATTGTGTTATTTTCAGTAATTTTCATGTTTCTGTTCTTTTGTGAACAATAAATACAGATAGCTTACCGTATGGTAACCTCTAGGTAGAGGTGGCTTCCCCACAGGATAAGGGTCAACAGTATCAATAATTGTTTGTCGTTCCCCTTTCTGGTTGATTTTCCTAAACCTTCTTCGAGACTGCCTGTGAGATGCTTGACGCTGAAAATATGCCTCGCTTTCTTCCATATAATCAACCTACAATAGATGCAAGAGAGGGTGTCATTTTCCACAAAAAATAAAAATGTTTCTTGTTTGAAACAACAAATCCTACTTCCAAAAAACAGCAGCTAGCTTTGAATTTCCTGCATTTTCAGCACTAAGAGTGAAACCACTACTAAAAAAAAATAAATATATCAACATGAGTATGAACAGCATCACTGAGTATGAACACTTTTCTAAAAGGGTAGAAGAAAAATTCTCCCTTTCTCACCCTCTTCTTACACTTGCACAAATACAAACATTTCACCACTCCATATATTGCAGAAAGAAAACTGGTACACCATTAATATTGTTGTTATATTTACTTTTACAGATTTCTTGTAAAACTATAGTTTTCTTGTGCTAGCAAAATACCAGAAGAGTTTGTAGGTTTGTCAGGGTTTTTTTGCGCTGCTTTATTATTGTAGATAAGCAGAGATGCTTTAAAGTATTAATCACACATTAGCTTAAGTAATTAATGTTTGATTGAATTAAATATATTCTCAGTCATCTGAGGTTTTTAAGACTAAATTTGAACATTTTTAAATTCTGTCAACTTTACTGGGTAAAGGGAAGGTTATTTTGCTAGCAACATCTGTTGTAGTCCAGTGGTAGAACAGCATCGTCTTTGAGGCTCCTGCCAGCTCAGGATGCCTCATCTGTATTTGTATCTGAACAAATACAGAATCAACAGGCTAAATTTTTTATTAACAGATCAGTTCATAATACAGGCATGACAATTATCTAAGCCTTATAGAGATGGCTTAAATATAGACTGTGATATTAAACATTTTTTCCTAAAAAGTGACAGTTTCTGTAAAACTTGCAGAAGGTCAGGAAATGTGGTATAACTTGAGGGCTGTAGAAGGGATTAGGTTACTTGTTTGTTACCAGTTTGTGTAACTCACAAGTACAGGGAACAGTCTGTTGTCCCAGTTTTGTTCTCTAAAAGTATACAATTTAGTTGGTTGTAGTTGTGTGAATGGCTGCTTTTATCACTCAAACAATGTAAGTATGTAAGCAAAGAATGGCAAGAAAGTTATGTATAAAATCTTATATTTATTAAATGATCACATGTAAAAGAGAAAACTCTAAGTTGTACTGGAAACTGAAGTGTTACTAAAGCTGGTCTGTACACTTTGAAAGTAACTGAGTGAAAATGTTCTTACCACAATCATTTCAGAGGGCTCTAGAACAATGCATTCACATCCACGCCTCATGCTCCCAGCAGAACGCTTGCCAAAACTGAAGAACATAAATATTTCAATTATAAAAGAGATCTGAGCTATAGCACAATTCATAAACATATTTACATCTTATCCAGATATTGCAAAGCAGAGAAAAAATGTACATACCTCTGTACAATACAAGTTTCATGCGTATGTCCTTCAACAGTGTCTTTGGGTTCTTAATTAGTTAATTAAGAACTATTTTGTATTTACATAGTTCCCTAAGAGTATTTGCTAAATAAGTCTATTAACACTAAAACAAGTGTCAATCAAGAGCTGTCTACTGAAGAGGCATAGTTGATTCTGAACTACATTACAGAGTTTGATCTCGTATCTTCTGACATTACAGTATTAAGTTACCTAAGCTATCTGCATTTCTATAACGAAAGCTAGCTGGAAGACCAAGAAAATAATTAAAAGGCTGATCAACTTCAATTAACTCTTTTCCACTTAAAATAATAAAATAAGGAACATGAGTGTATTCCCAAACTGAATAGATGAGGACAAAAGGTTGTTTTGCCCTTTCATGACACATTCCCACTGCAATGCAATAATTAAACATGATACTATTTTGTTTCCTGCAGGATAAAACAGAAACGTTTTTTAATTTTAGTTTCTGGAGTGCCCTGCTGGTATTAATGAATGTGTGCAACTGCAGGTTTCACTGCAAAGAATCCTCAAAATGCAGATGTAAAGGTGAAGTGCAGAGAACCAGTACATAATTCAGTGAAATACAGAACCTTTAGAGTTAGATCCTTAATCCTACACCATCGGAGTAAAAGAAAGGCAGCCAGTTAAAGTTTGTTTATGGGATATGTGATTCCTCCTCTGGGTAGGAATGTCAGGTCAATGCCAGACCTTTCCCATCGTAGACTGGAGGGCAGGATAGACAACAAAATGAGTGGAACTTCAGGACCCAGCTTGTAGTTTGCTGTAACCAACCTACGCTACACTTTGCAAAGAGCCAATATAACTATTTAGCCTCTCCCTTTCTTCAATTGGCACCGTGCAACAGACATGGGAAACCTTCCTATCTGAAGCCCACAGGGCAACAGCTTGAAAAACAAACCAGACTCAATGAAATGGTAAAATCTGAATTTTAACCAATCCTGTAATGCACAGTCATGGTAACACAATGAAGCAACAATGTTTGTGAGAGGTAACTTTTTTAAGCTTTATTTCATATCCCATTCGGAACAGTATATGTAGCCAGTTCATATCTGTGCTCCTGCCCCGCCTGGCCATTAGTAGAAATGAACAACTTAACTCACTACCCCAAAGGCTAATCTCTTGACAACAGCACATTTATAGGCTCAAAAAGAAGGCAGTCAGATATTGAAAAGAAATGCCAGCTGTGCTTATTCATCAAAATAATAATCGCATTTAATGGTACATGGGACTTCTACAATAGAAAAAATTTTCCAGAATACTAAGCTTCTTGAAAAGAAACATTCAATAAAGAAGTCTCTGGACAAAATGCTTATTTTCCTAGAGGCAAACACATGCTTCCTCCTATAGTCCAGCAACAAAACACAGGGTTCTTTACTCTACAATATCATCTTGAATTTTATACAATTTCAACTCCTCTTAAGGGCATGAGAAAATGAAACCATTATATTGATTCATTAGACTCTTGCAAAAGTGGCAAACTTATATTTTGGTCAATAACTGGATCCATACACATAGTTTTTTCCTTAAAAACAGAAAGGAAAAGGAGAGAAAGCAGAAAGTAAGTCAACTCATTTACTGAAAAACAGCAATGCAAAAAATGGTGATTAGGAAGTCAACTTATTTGATATTCTAATTGGAAAATAACACAAATATTCTTACCACTTAGAAAACACCTATTGCTGTATTTTTTTTTGCCGACCCATTTTTCTAGTCTCACAGCAAGTACTCATTTCAACAAAAAAACATATAAACACTCCACCATTTCTTCTTCCTCTATTGCTGACTGTAAGTATCAACTTTAAAACTTCTGTTTGTTGCTAATCACTGCTGACATGCAAAAGTTTCAAGCTTTAGAAAACACAGTAAAAACAAAAAGCTGTGTTTTGGATGTGTTTCTCTATTCTTGAATAACTTGTTTGGATTTTACTCTTCAGCACCAGGGAACAGGCAGTCAACATATTAAGATAGAAGGCATGCATTCAGTTAGTATAAAAAAAATTCTCGATTTCTGTTCCCAGTAACACAGTGGTTCTCACAGCAAATAACCATGTCATTGTTGTACTGCTCAGATTCCTATGACAGCATGAAATTTATCAGAGCAGACAGTGCATCACATGTATATATTATCTTTGACCAAAGATCACAAGGCACTTCAGGCTGCAAATAAACTCTCTAATCTTTGTGAAGTATTGTAGGAAAGAAGACAAGTAAATCAAGACATAAGAAAGTTAAATGACCTTTCAAGTGTTGCAGTTCTCAGACTGCCACACCAGCTAAACCTCCTGATTTCCAATCTCTGTTGAAAATTCATCACCAGTGAGGAATTCACCTAATCAGTGAAAATCAGGGAACTCTCTTGTCATTGTCCACTACACCTGGAAACTTCGGAAGTGTCCATCTCTGACTGTGGTAGAACATCCATCACAGTATTGCATGCCATCTGCTGCAGAATCACACTTCAATACAGGTTTTTGTGTGACACACAACTCTGAGAAACCCTGAGAAACTACTGGGATCTCAGAGCATTGCCAATCCTGCCGTTTCAATTCATAAGACTGACGACAAACATCATAACTGAATTAATTTGTCAGAGTTTCACATGAGCAAAAATAAAAGACCAACAAAAAAGAACTTCAGTGGCATTCTACCTGAAATCCCCAGCTGTGGTAACTAGCCACTCAGCAGAGGAAGCCACTAAACAAACTTGATTTTATTGAAAACAGGTTATTTAACATATCAGCAAGCAGTAAGAAGAAGCAAATACCCAACACCTAATACAGTCTGTTTACTGAGCCGATAAAAAAGCCCAAGTTGAAAAGCCTTTTATAAAATTCTTCATGATCAGAACACTGAGGCACTGGAACAGGTTGCCCACAGAAGTTGTGGACTCCCGTTCCTTGAAGTGTTCCAGACCAGGTTGGATGGGGCTCTGAGAAGCCTGGTCTAGTAGAAGATGTCCCTGTCCATGGCAAGGGATTTAGAACCAGCTGATCTTTAAGGTCCCTTCCAACCCAAATCATTCTGTGATTCCTTGAAATACCAGGAGAAGAACTTCATTCAAGGGACCACAAGCCACCACGCAAGCTGGCTTGAGGGATGTTAGGTATCACACAGGAACAGTAGCACCAAATAAAGTTTCAGTGGAAGGGTTGACATTATCTTCATAATATCAGCTCTATTTCAGTAACTTTGAATAGACAATGTTCTTTACAAAATTTTGACTGTATGACTACCCAGATTTCTCACAAAACACATAGTCTACATGAGTACTGGCTAGCCAAAATACAGTGTAGAAAGCCTTTATTAGCAAGTTTCAATGGACCAGGGATTTGACAAATTTACTCCTTCCCTTACTGTAGAGTGAGATAAGCTTGTGGATATACGACCCCACTCTGGAGCTTAAGCTTAAACCCCATTTTTGTTTTTAAAATGCAGTAAAGAATTTTAAATAATATATACTTCACATTTAGTTGTGTCACTTAAGTCAGAATTGTCTTAATACATCTTCCTACCTAAACCTTATTAATTTCAACTCCTAAATATAGCTTGTTTCAACTAAGTCAGTGATATACCTGAAAGAATCCTAGATTTGCAACTATTTTCTCTAGATCAGTGATGTGCATAAGAGAATTTCACCAAAGGAGGTTAAAGCAGTTTAAAGTTATCTTTCCAATTGTAGCTGTCAATATGGGATGCACAGGTTATAACAGTAATTCAGAAAGTCAGAAGGGTTCCCTGGTCAGGACATTGCTGCCTCACCTAAATTTCCCAAAGAACCTTGTTTTGCAGCAGCTTTTCTAACACTTTTCTTCCCTTCTACCACATAAGCTCTGACTTGAGGTTCCCCAAGTATTAAACTTCACAGATGCTCTCCTCAGTACCTGTCCTAGAGGTAAATTCACTTCTGGAGTCCTTTTCTATCACAGTACTTGTATTACATATTGAATGTATGATGTGACTATAAATCTACTGCAAATAAAACAAAAACAAACAGCAACAACAAAAAAAACCCTAACAATGATATACAAAACAATGTTATTTACAGGAATCCATTTTACAGTAGACAGGTGTTTTCCCCAAGTAACTGCTCTCTAACTACACTATTCCCTTAAACAATTGACAAGTCTAATTTTCCACTTGACTATTCAAAAGCATTATTTCCAAACAAGTTCATTAATACTAAAAAAAACCTTTTTCTCACTCTGTGTATTAAAAGCAGATATTTTAATTCATATCAGTCATTTACAATTTCAATTCTAAAGCATTTTTAAATTGAATTTACATTGACCATAGATGACAGTTCCCTTCTCCATAAGTATACTTTACTACATCTGTATCTCAGCTTATAACTCATTATACTCAAACCATACACAGCTAGCTAAAGAACAGATGCATTACAGTTTTCAACATGCTTGTTAACAGAAGATGAGTTTTAAGTGAAAGTTAAGGGTTTCCATGTTTACAAGTTTACACTTTCAGTTTTCATTAAAAAAAAACACTTTACTATTATAAAAATACAATAGTACAAATATATCAGTGGCTAACAAAAAACTTGAGAATAATTTAGGATCACCGTCTGCATTTATTCCCCTTCAAATTTAATAAATTTACTAATAAAACAAAACAATGAAGTACTTCAATTAAATTAAACATCTACGGTCACAGGCAACACACGAATTTTTATAAGCACATAGAGACAGCCAGAAACTTGCAGGTACTGAGGGCAACTTGTTCTATTCTTTCTATTATCATCATGATACTGGAGGACAAGGCAGTTTTCTCCAGACACGACCCATCCATTCCCCCAGGTCCCCAGACATACTTGTACACGCACATACAGATGCT